AAGACGCAGCAGTCAAGTTGATCCGTGGCGTTGAAGTCCCGAGAGCACTGTTTTGGCATGATTCAGGATCTTCAAGCGGTTGTCGTCCAACGAGGCAGTTCCCTCAATGGAAATGAGCCGTTGTAGGGGCCTGTGAATAGGGAGCTTGGAGGGAGGCTTAATTCTAACATCGTTGATGACTCTTGGGTTTACACTCGTCCTCCTCCTTCTCCTCCCCCTCCTTGGTTTGTTGTTGCTGTGTGCGCTGGGCTCGACGACTCGTGGAGTCTTGTCATGCTCCCCTTCCCTGTCCCTTTTTTTGTTTGCAAGCTTCCCCGCCCTCCTAAATCTTCGTTCCGCCCGCCCGTGTCCGGCGTGCCGCGGCGTCCAAAACAGCCACAAACACATCCGGCCCGTTGTTGAAGGGAGACGACAGACACAGTCCGTCCTTCTCCTTCTCCTCGTGGCCTTGGCCTTTTCCTGGCCCCCGACGTCGCGATTCTTGATGCAGCGGGGGGTTCTGGAGGACTCGACTCCGATGACTGGCTCTTCATCCCGAGTGGTCTCGTTTCCGGCCCCGGTTCCTGGTAAAGGAAGGGCCCTTAGAGGGCGAGTGAAATTCAAAAGACGTTTGTCATGTTTTTTTTCACGACGCGAGGGAACATGTGTTCTTCCCTTCTCCCTCCTCCTCCTCCTCCTCCTCCTCCTCCCTCCTTCTCCTCCGTCCTCTTCCTCCTCCTCCTCTTCTCTTCTTCCTTCTCCGTTCTCCTCCCTCCCTTTTCCCTCATATCTCCTCCCCCGCCCTCGCGAAGCTCGAAGCGAGGCGCAGCGCTCCGCCCTGCGGCGGCCTGGCTCGACTCGGTCGCGGCGTTGTCGTTCTTATCCTCGCGCTGTCCGTTCCGCTTCCTTATGAATAAACCGTCCATGTCGCGCCCCGAGGCCAGTAGAGAAAGGCGGGCTGGGCGCTTCGCTCGACACTTCCGTACCATCTATGATCCTGACGCTTACAAATTGGCAGCAGTTTTGTTGATGGAGGGCCGGTCGTTTCCAACATGTGGCTCTCGCTTTAGCGTCGCGCACATGCGTTCGACGGATTGAGGACGGGTCGTTTTCAAAATGTGGTTCTCGCCGTAGCGCCGCACACAATCGTGTTAAATATTTGCAAGAGTTTCACAGGTGGAGGGCAGTTCCTATCAAAATGAGGCTCTCGCCTTAGCGCCGCGTGCATCTGTTAAACATTGCAAGAGTTTCACTGGATCTCGTGGTTAACGTAGCAGAGATAGTGTTTTGGAACGACACTGGATTGCTAGGGAGCGTCAGTTTCGTTGATTCGCAGTGCCGAAGTCCCAAGAATGGTGTTCACCCACGATTTACGATCGCTCGTACGCAAGAGTCATGTTGATTCGTGGCGCTGAAGTCCAGAAAATTGTATTTTTGTTCCACGCCTCCACGCCTCAGGATCTTCAAACGGTTGTCTCCCAACAGAGCACTTCACACAGTGGAGATGTGTCCTTGTAGGGGCCGACGAAGAGGGCAATTTGAGGGAGGATTGATTCCAACATCGGTGATGAGTCTCGGCTTTGCACTGGTCCTCCTCCTCCTCCTCCTCCTCCTCGTCTTTCGCCTCATCTTGCTCCTCCTCGACCTCGTCCTCGTCCTCGCCCTCCTCCTCGCCCTCGTCGTCGCTGCCATGCTCGCCGTCGTCCTCCCTGTCCCCCTCGCCCGCCTCGTCCTCGTCGTCGCCGTCCTTGTCCTCGCCGCCCTCGTCCCTGCCCTCGCTCTCCCGAGCCCCCAGCGATTGCGGAGCGACGCGACGTCGCGCCGCTCGGCGGCGCAGGCCGCGGTGGAGGTGGACTGCCCGGTGGGCCACCTCGGCCTCGACGGGCTGTGAGCCGCCGCTCCGCCCGGGCCCGCCCTCGGAGAGGGGGCGCGCGAGCTCCGGAGGTCCTGGCGTCCTCGAGATTTTGGTTCGAGCCGGGCGCTTTCGCTTACAGTCGGCCCAGATTAGTTGGTCGACGCTGCCCCGTGCCTCGCGACACGTGCCTTCCTACACTCCTATGGCGACGTGGCCCTCGGAAGGGTCTTGTGTCCTCTCGCGTGTCCTGTCCAATCAAGGCCGACTGTAGTGTTGGGCCCCGGTGCTCTCGCAGATCGATCGGGCTCGAAGAATGCAAGCAGTGGCGAAGCGTCCTGGCGTGCCTATAGGCCTACCAAAGAAATTTCCAAGAGCCTTTTGTGGCTTCCACGAAATGTTCTTTGAACATTTCTGGCTGGGGCTGTCTTGTTTCAACACATCTGGTTTATGCTATAAGAACATGGTTCTTGATACTAGAACATTTTGGGGTTCTCAGAACATTCCATGGTAGGCCTATAGAAATGCCGGGACGGTCAGTCCCTGCTCAACCTGTGCTCTCACAGATCGACCGGGCTCGAAGAATGGCGCACGATGATCGGGTCTATGGCCTTGGTCGTGAGTTGACGCCGGATCTCAGGGTCTGCACACGTCCCTGGCCGGGCCGAGTCTGGGCCCAGGCTCGTCGGCTATATGCGCGTAAGAGTGCCCTTTCGCCAGAGTGACACTTGGTGCGGGCCCACCGGGAGGTCCCCCCCAGCACTGGCTGGCGTGCCTGGACTTGACCCTCTGACGGCCCTCTGAAGCTGCGCATCAAGGGTCGCAGGGTCACTTGCGTGCAGCCGAGATCAATGCATATGTGCCATCCTGGCCTACCCAGGCATCCGACTCCGTGCTTTGTGCTGCTCAGCGTGGCTCCCCAGAGGTCTGGACCCCTTCCGCGGACCGACTCTTCACCCTGCCATGGGTAGTTTTGTTGCGGTCCCTGGGCCAGGTAATGTAAGGGTGCTCGGTGCATGTGCCCTCCTGCCAGGCCGGGATGGCGTATACACACCGACTCCTTTGGCCACCCGCTGGGGCGCGGAGATAATCGCGCTGCTCGCGTCGCGGTAGCGACTGCCCTTCTTCAAGGGGGCGGCGCGAGGGCGCAAAAATCATCGCGCGTCGTGCACCGTGGGGCGCGATGCGCGAAGTTGAGTGCCAGGACATGGGATGTCTGGACTTTTTCACTACGGGGTCCCTGGGATGGGGAAACCACAAGCTCCCAATACCGCTACTCCCCATACCTCTCCTAGGGTGCGTTCTGACCAGGATTTCGAGGCCAATCCAGCGGTGGCGACGAGGCCCTCCCAGGAGGCCCCAAAAAGGGAAAACGAGGGATGGGTAGAGGTTATGGGTACTTTTTCCTCCTCCTATGGAAGTCCGCCCGTCTTGCCGATGCCCTCCTTACTGCTGCCCGTCTTGTCGTCGCCCGTGTTTCCGCTGCCCGTCGTCGGCGGCGGCGGGTCCGACGGCGTTTTGCCAGTGATCCTCTTCCGCTTCGTATCGGCCTCTGCCGTCGCGGCCTCGGCCTCGGCCTTCTGCTCCAGCTCCTGCGCAGGGGGGGAGGGCGTGACGGACGGGTCTCAGGAAGATGAAGTGGACGAGGAGGGTTCCCCGGGGCCGGTGTTTCGCTCCGAGGAGCTGCTTGACGGCCCAGGGGCCTGGTGAAGAGGCCCCCAGGTCGAGGCCGAGCACGGCGCAGAGCCTGCTGTCGTTTGCTGCCGGATGCGCCAAGTGAGACGACTGGGGGCTCCTCGGAGGCTGGGACCAAGTCGGACGTGTCCCTCTACGGGAGGAATATTCCAAAATAGTCAAAAAATAGTCAGGGGACGATGTTTCAGGTATTTTTGGCTATTTGTGGGCATTTTTTGCTGCTTTTCTATTTTCTTCCAAAATCCGCCTGTAGGGGGACATGCCCAACCTAAGGCTAGGACGAGGCTAAATCCGTTCCATGGCGTTCCGAAACGCACTCAGAACGTTCCGGAGCGCTTTGAGAAGGCTGCGGCGCCCGATAGATCCTCCAGAGCCGCGGGATCTTAGAGATTCTCGATTCGTCCGCACCCGAATCCCGAATTTGTCCTCGTCCTGGCCTCGTCTTAAGTCGGGCGTGTCCCTCCACAGGAGGAGTATCCAAAAAACTGAAGAAAAGTCAGGGGACGTTTTTTGAAGATGTTTGAATCTTTTGATGGGTATGTGTTATTTTTCATCCGAAATCCGCCTGTAGGGGGACATGCCCCACCTAAGCCTCATCTTTACTCCTGGGCCCAGGATAGGACCTGGCCAGGATCGGTGCATGTGCACAGCTGGCGCGCTCCTGCGCCCCGAGGCGCCCTCTTGCGCGCGCGCGCGCCTCGGACCCTCTGGTCGCCCGGAAAAGGTCGCCGCGCGCTGGCGGGGCTGCTATGCCTTCAGCGGGTCGGTGGTTCAAAGATCCCAGACCCCCTCGCGCTGTGGACAAAAGCTCGACGGGAGGTTTCTCTCTACTTTCGGCCTCCAGGGGGCCCTCGCCAGACCCCAGGGCCGCGAAAAACGGCTCAGGATGAAAGACCGGCTCTGGGGAAGGATTCCATACATTTAGGGGCAGACGTTGCGATAAAGTCACGGCGTCGGGGGTCTGGGATGGGGTGCTGAGGGGTGGGGTCTTGAGTCTAGAGGGTAGTACTGGATCCAAGGGGGTATTTGCATTGTTTGAGGCGCCTCCTCCTGAGGGCCCCATCCCTCAGGACCCCATCTCTGAACCACCGATTGGGAGGCTCGAAGATCCAGGCCTCCCGAGATGGGGCTGGAGTAGGTGGGGTCGGGGGATCGGGCCGCATCGCCGATGCATCGGCGATGCAGCTCGATGTGGAGCCCGATGTTCCTCCACGTCGACATCGCCAATGCGTCGCCGATGCATCGGTGATGCATCGACGATGCGGGTCGAGCCCCCCACCCCATTCCGACCCCATCTTGGAGGCTTCTAGTGCAGCCCCTGAGATTCTGGCGTCGCATTTTTTCGAGCCCGGCGCCTTCGCTTAGTTTCGGACCCCGGGACCCTCTCAGATCGATCGAGCTCGAAGAATAGCGCAGGATGATGGGATCTATATGGCTCTGGTCGTGATTTTTCGCGATGTTGCTCGATCGGTACCCCTCCACCTGGGTCCTCATAGACCCTGGTCTTCCATCCGTAGCCATTTTGGCTCAAGACGTTTTCTCTCGAGAGGCCACTTTGGCCTGAGACGATCTTGCCTGCAGCAGAAGCGTGGAGCCGATTCCCACCGACGGCCCCCCAGCGCCAGCAGGATGTCGCGCACGCCCCACGCCTCGTTTGACGACGGGTCCCGCGCCACGGCTACGCCCGTCGCCCAAGCAGCGGAGCACTCGCCCTGCGCCACGGCGGCGACGGAACTGTCACGCACGTCCCGCGCAGAGGGTGACGGCGAGTCCAGCGCCACGGCCACGCCCCCCGGCGCGGCGGCGATGGAGCGAGCCATTGCCAGCCGGCTGCAGTCGCAGCGGGACATGCTGCGGGAGCTGGAGGAGCTGGAGGCCGCCGTCCAGGGCGTCGCCAACCAGCTCAAGTCGCGGCCGGCGAAGTCCACCGCGGCGCAGAAGTGGCAGTTCGCCCACGGCGTCGCGGAGAGGGCCCCCCGCATCGAGGCGTGGGGCAGCGGGCACAAGCACGTCAGCGGCGCCTACACCTATGTGCCCCCTGCGGACGAGCAGAAGCGCACGGGACCGGCAACGTACCAGAGCGCGGCGGACCCCGACAACTACTTGTACGTGTCGATGGGGGGCTCCTGGTTCTTGGGCAACCTCGAGTCGAAGGATGCCCGGCAGCAAACGACGCAGAAGGGCTACCTCCGCAGCACAATGCCGGTCGAGCCCGGGGTGCTCCCGCACATGACTGGACCGGGTTGGGAGGTCTTGGCTGGAGTAGACTTCGTGCCGAAGGAGACCATGAAGTTCTGGCTGGCAGAGACGGTGCGGCTGGAGTGGCAGAAGGCCCGCGTCGACCTGGGCGGCTCCCCAGTAATCTCAGTGACCGGCGTGAGCGAGGCCTTCGCAGACGGCCGCTTCGATTTCGTGCCCGCGCAGAGCAGCAAGGGCGAGCCCCCAGTCTTCCAGCACCAGAGGCTGAAGAACGTGTGGATGTTCCTCGGCACGGACCAGCGGTGGTGGATCGGCAACACCAGCGACAAGAACGGCCGGACCCCTCGCGGCATCGGGCGCACTTGCGGGCCCATCCAGCCCGGCGTCGTCCCCACAGCCGACACGACATTCGCCGTCTCCGTGAACAGCGCCTGGGAGGAGCGCAGGGTGCGGATTCGGCGGGTGGAGGGGCTGCGCGCCTGCGACTGCTGGGCGGAGGCCGCTCGCAGGACTGGGCCGCTGGAGCTGTGGGGCAGCTCCGAGCTCTTCGGGGCCTTCGTCCCAGAGGCGGGCGAGCGTGGGCTGCCCCCGGTCTACCGGTGCAAGAAAGACGGCGGCGCGGTGTTCTTCGTCGGGGAGGACGGGCGCTGGTGGCTCGGCACTTCTTGCGAGGGCGGCCGGCCGAAGGAGGGGCGCGTCCGCAGTGTCCAGTCGGTGGAGCCAGGCACGCTGCCCGACGACCCCTCCGTCGCCTGGCTCGAAAAGGGCGCCTCGCAGCAGTGGTCGCGCGCCCCCGCCCTCCGCTTCTGCGCCCCAGAGGCCGTGGCGGCTGCGTGGCGCGCGGCCCGGGAGCAGGCCGCCGCGGACCCGGTGTTGTCACTGACTGGCTCGCCGTCCGACTTGGGCTACGACGGCCTGTATGACTACATCGCAGAGGAGGGCAAGGAGGACGGGCCGCCCTGCTTCATGCACCAGATCAACCAGGAGCGGTGGATCTACCTTGGCGTGGACGGCTGCTGGTGGGTCGGCGCCAAGGAGTTCGTCGCGGGCGGCCTGACGAAGGGGCGGCTGTGCACTGGCCCTGTGGGCCCCGGCGACCTCCCGCTCGCCCCTGGCCGGGCGGCCCAGTGGCAGTCGTGGCACAGCGGCTCCAAGGCCTGGGTCGCCCAGCCCAGCACCAGCCTCGCCGTCTCGTGAGCGCGCGCGCGCGGCTTCTCCGACGCGCCAGCCGCCCCGGGCTCGGGGCGCCCAGTTCGCCCCTTGCTTGGCGGCCGCCCTCCGAGGAAGGCCCGCGCCCTCTGCCCCCACCCCCCGGGGCCCCGAGCGCCCAGCCCGCCCCTGATCGACCGAGGCGCTCTCCGCCAAGCGGGCCCTCGAGCCCCGACCTCGGGACGTCTGCCTGCCTGCAGGCCCCCGGGGGGGGGGGAGGGGTGGCACCGTTCGTTGCACCCCCCTCGGGGCAGTGCCTCGCCCCTGGCTCTCCTGGAGGCTCGGGGCCCTTCCGCCTCTCCGCGGACCTGGCCGCGTTTGCGCTTCTGCCCCCGCTGCAGGGCCCCGAGGCGAGGGGAGGGGTGCGAGGGGGGGAGGGGGCGAGAGCGGCCAGTCAAGTCGACCGAATGCACAGTCGCTTTTCCCGAATTTGCTCTTCGCATCTGCGCCGATAAGAGACCAGACTCGCCGCGGCAGCCTCACGACGCACGGTTCCCGCTGTCTCATTTTTTGAGGCGCGCCGCACTTGTTCTTCGCGTTTGATGAGTGCGATCTGTTGGTTGGATTTCGCTCCAGGCTTCAGAGACACCACCATCCACAAATAAACACAGCGCTTTCGGTTCGACTGGGAAAACAAATGAACCCTGGTCTTCCAGGAGGACTCGTTCTGCCCTGGCATCGCGCTTGCCTGCGTCCTGCCCTTCTCTTCCCGCCGCCCCCCTTGCCCTCCGCCCACCGTGTCCCCGGTCCCTCTCCGTCCTGGCACTTCTGCCCCGCTCGTCAGGCCCGCCCTCCCGCCGGCGCATCGTGTCCAAAAGCGGATCCCTCACCATCACTGCTTTTGGTAGGGTCGCTTAGGATCCCTCGACTCGGAATTCCGCCCGTTTCTCGAACGAGTCCGCGATCGCCTGGCTCCACATCGGCTTCGCCTCGGACCTCGCCAGCAGTTCCTGGGCGGCCTCCGGCGCCCAGCGGACGACGACCTGACTGTCGAGTTCAACGTCTCGGCCGCCTCGTCGCTTGGGGCGCCTTCGTGGACTCCGGGATACCTCCAGTTCCGGGTAGGGCCGACTGACCCTTTTGTCTTGCCCGCCTTTCCTCGCTGCCTTCCTGGTTCTCCGCCCGCCGCGTCCTTGCTCCCACTTTCCTGGCATCGCTCGGACACGCGATTTTTTTCTCGGAGAGGACCATCGAGGAACATCTTGGGTCATCTTCCGAGAGAATACACGCACGAAATGAAGCACATGCACGGGGAGTGGACGTCCGAGCGATGGCGAGCTCCTCCTTGACGTCCGTTGTCAATGTTGTTCTTCGACTTCACGGTCGCCACGCTCCAGCTTCCCCCGCGAAGGGCGGTCGCGTCAGAATTGCGGCTTCGTGAGAACATACGTACCCAGCGGTCGTTGAAAGTAGGTTTTTGGGGATTCCAGAACCTAATCTACTTCAAGCACCGTCCTACTTCAAGAATTGATATGCTTTTGCTGCGTGATGTTGCCCTCTGGGCGGGCCCGGACCCAATCTATTATATCCGCCTTCCTACTTCATGATTCTACCTACTTCTTCCGACCGATGGGTAAACGACGTATGTTTCAAGTTTCTCACACTTGGGGTTCCGGTCTTGGGACAATTGCAAGACGGCCAGCAGCGAAACATCAGTCGCAAGGGTCGAGAAAGTCTGGGGCTCGTGTCGCGGAAAACCCAGGCGTCGGAGGTTCGGGGACCCACGGGTAATTTTTTCCTTCCTTTCGGAAGGACACCGCATGAGGAAGGAGGTTCCTTCATGCTCGGACGATGCTGTGCTGCCTAGGGTCAAACTCAGGCTCAGGGCCCCCCTTCCCGTCTGACCCCCCTTCTCCACTTTTTGGCCTTTCCATGGCTTTCCTATTCCTCGTCCCCTTCTATCCTGCTTCTCCTTCAGAAGGGAAAAAATAGACACAGACACACATTGCCGTAGATATCTAGTAACTTATGGAAATAATGGAATTGGAATGGAAGGCGAACATCCGCGCGCACACTTACATATGGTATATGTAGATATACGTATATATATACATACATGGAAAAGTGGACTGTGTCTATGCGTTTGTGTCCCCCTGGGCCCTTGTTCCTGCTCTTCTCATCATCTCCTCTTCCCTGCTGCTTACTGCACGTGGGACGCGCTGTGCACTTGAGAAAGGGAAGGGGGGAGGGAAGGGGGCGACGAGGAGAGAAAGGAGGAGAAAGTTGAAATGGGGAAGCCGCAGGGAGAGAGGAGTGGGAGGAGCTGGAGCGGGACAAGGAGAATGATGATTGTGACGATGATGATGATGATGATGATGATGATGATGATGATGATGATGATGATGATGATGATGATGATGATGATGATGATGATGATGATGATGCTGATGATGATGATGATGATGATGATGATGATGATGATGATGAACATGGAGGAGGAGGAGGAGGAGGAGGAGGAGGAGGAGGAGGAGGAGGAGGAAGAGAGTCGGAGTAAACCCCAGATGTGCCAAGGATGTTTCAATGCCCACGCCCTCCCGGCCCGGGCCCCCGCTTCGTTAATCACGCCAACAGCCTGTCTTCACTGCGCGGAACGCCCCCCCCCCTCCCTGAGCGAGGAGCGCCCCCCATGGGCCCGCTGTGCCGGCGGGCGCTCCGTTTTGAAAGCGGCCGTCTTCCGCCCCTCGGGCGACACGGTGGGGGCGTTCGTTGAGGAACGTGCCGAGGAGGCCTCAGGCCCTGGAGGGCTCCTTGTCTGAGGAGGGCGGTGGTGACATCCATGGGCAGTCCACGATGGGTTGCCCACTGGCTCCCAGGCCCTGGGCTCCTCATCGAAGGTTTCCTTATCCAATGCCATCACCGTGCGCAGTGCGACGCGTTGAGCCATAAAAGTTCCAGCGAGTGCCAGGCGGCACACCCGCCTTGGAAAGGAACGCCCTCCATGCGTGCAGTTGTCGCACAGCGTGAAGCTTCTGCCAAACAAGCCGATGAGGTCTCGGCCGAGGCACCCACTTTGGAAAGGATGCGCCCTGCGTCCGTGCGACCGCTGCAACATACTATGCTTACAGTGACAGTTTCGAGGAAGTCGCCTGCGAGAGCCCCATTCTGAAAAGGATCCACCCTCCACCGGTGTCAGACGAGAGTGCGCGACGTACAGGCGGGAGCCCCATTTCGACAAGTGTCTGTGGTCCATCTGTGACGGATAATCCGTGTAAGTGTTTGAAGTGGTGAAGACGAGTGTGCGCGGCACCAAGGCAAGAACCCATTCGCAAAAAAGACGCCCTCCATCCGCGTATCTGTTGGATGTGTCAAGACGAAAGTGTTCAGTGCCAGGCTGACAGATCAACTAACGAAACGAGTCCCCCCCCGTTCGTGTAGCTTGTGGACATTTCCAGCTTCCAGATCGTAGACGGCTGGGAGGTGTCAGGCGAACCGCCCAGCCCGCCCTAATTATTGACACGTCTGGTGGTGCGACAGGACGGGGGCCAGGCATAAGGAAGAGGGATGGGGGAGAGGCAGGTGCGAGAGCAGGAGCGATGGCAGAAGCGAGAACAGCAGCAGTGGCCCGAGCAGGAGCACGAAGGGCACGGGGAGGAGCAGCGTCGCAAAAGCAGGAGCAGACTGAAGCGGGAGGCCCAGGCGGAGGATGTGGAAGATGATAATGAAGGGGATGAGAAAGATGGGCCCTATCCCCTGGCCAGGGCACTGCCGCCAGCGCCGCCGGTGCCTCAGCCCCGCGACGACAGAGAAGAGTTGCCCACGGACGAGCAGGGAGTAAGCAGCGGAAGGCCGCCTGCGGAAGAGCCCTGAAGGGAGGGAGAGTGGAATGGCGCGGGTGGGCAAGGGAACGGAGGACTTGGCGGAGACAGTGGCTTCTGGGGGACTGGCGTCCTGAGGTCTGTTCGCTGTTTTCAGCCTGAATTGGCGAGCGGGAGAAGCGAGCGGTGGGGCGGTGGGAGCGTGGAGAGGCGAGTGGGGGGCAAGGGGGCGGAGGAACTGGCAGAGGCAGCGGTTGGAGTCTGGCCGTCTGTGCGTCGCCAGGAAGAGAGGGGGTCACGAGGGACGGGGGGTCCTGAGTTCTGCTTGCGGTTTTCGGCCTCAAGTGGCCGTTTCCGGGACCCAGGACGGTCGAGAATTGATTCAGGATTTCAAGTTAAGTCGGACCTATCTTTCCACAGGAGGAATATTCACAAATAGTCAAAAATAATCAGGGGACGATTTGTTTAGCTACTCTTGACTATTTTGGGGCATGTTTTGAAAATTTGCAGGCTTCCGTCAACAATTCGCCTGTAGCATGACATGCCCGACCTAAATGTAAAGCCAGTATGGGCTAAACCCCAGGGTTCAGGATCCGTTTCCTTTAGTGCTTTCCATGATGCCAGGTGTGGTCCCTCGGGGGCTTTCCCTGACGCCAGGTATGGGACGCTTTTCCGACACGTCCTACAGATGGGAAAGGGGAACTCAGAGACAGCGCTGCCGGACGACGTATTGTCTTGTTTGGTTGTGCTGTGCTTTTGTCGCACAATGTACGCAACCGTTGCTCATCTTGCGGGAGGCAACGAGACCAGGTGGAGCAAGTATGCGCCATGTCTGCCGTCCCTGCGCACCTCTGGATCTCAGGTCGAGCGAGCGTGCTTTCGGTCCGCTTAACGGTCCATCGTGCTCTGGGGTCAGAGTAGCGTGATGGGGCTACTTCGACAGCAAAGGTCCTTAAAGGGCACTTGAACAATTCGAAGTTGAGTGCTCGAGGGGGCCTGGGAAACGCTACCCAGAGCCTATCCGTCCGGAATGAAGGAGGTGGAGCCCGCAGTCGTTCGACTAGCGCTCGCTTTCTCCATTCACCATCCAGAACGGTCGCGCCCGCGCGACCCTGTTTCCGCATACTCGCAGCATCTCGAATGGCGAGCTGCTGCGCTGCGCTCGCGCGCGGGTGCAGCACCCGGCGCTGAGGATCATCACCCACCAAACCACCCCAACCCAACCCGAAGGCGTCAATTTGCCTTCCATTTCTAGTGGGGGAGGGTCCAGGAACATCGAATAAACACATATGGAGCCCATACCCCCCCCAACCCGAAATTCGGGCCTTCGGATTGGGTAGGTAGTCAGAGGAAGAAAAGGGATCGGGTTCTTGGGGAGAGGGTTGGCCGCGCCCGTGGCCTTGAATCGGGCCCTGCCTCGCCCTCGGGCCTGCAGGAGCGGGCAAACAAACCACCAGCCAGATCGGGACCCGCGGGGTGCACGGCCAGCACCGGCTCTGCACTTGGGGGGCAACCGTGGGTCGACTAGACGTAAGAGTGTCCTTTCGCTTGAGTGACCTTTGGTGCGGGTCCAATGGGTTCCCCAGGCCGCCAAACGCGATGCGATAGTAGCGTCTTGCGCGCTTGTGTTTGGTCCCCCCGCGGTCCCCAAACAGTCGCGCACCAAAGGTCACTCTTACCCAGGGTCACTCTTGCGTGTAGTCGAGTGGGGCGGCGGGCGCCAGGCAGCTGATGGAGATCTCCGGGCTCGCGGGCCGCGTCGTGCTGGAGGCCTCCAGGCGCCTGGGCGGCCCAGCCCGAGGAGGGAGGAGGAGCAGGAGGTCTCATTCCGGGCGTGTTCGGAGGGGGTCCTCAGAGATGCTCTCAGCGCTGGGGGGGTGGTCCTGGACGGCTCGACGGGGTTCTGGAAAGGAAGAGGAGGAGAAGCGTGTATTGGGTTGGGTGGCAGCTCGCAGCAGCAGGTCACCCTGAGCTTGACTCAACGAAGGCTGTCGTCTGCCTGTGTGCAAAAAATCGCTCCCTTACTTCAAATATATGTGTTATATCTCGCCGGC